AACTATTGACACCATGCACCCCAGGCTTTTTTTAAAATAAAATACATTTTTTTTTATTTACACTATTATTAATTTATATTTATTGAAATTTTTAACATTATTTCTTAATTTAAATTTATTTTCTATTTGTTAGTTTGGTTTTCTATAAAAAGCGTGTTTATAGTTTTTTTAAACTATTATTTATTGATCTTTAGATCAGTGATTACACTGATAAAGTTAACCAAGCATTGAAGAGTCTATAGGTATACCGCTGTATACCTTGGTTAAAGTTGATAATCAAAATTGCCAGCTCTTATCGTAACAATTATAATTATTAAGCAGTCGTTAAAATTAAATAAAAATATTTTTATTTTATTAAAAAGTTATTCAATAATTTTTAAAAACAATATATTTTTTACTATAAAATTTTATCAATTTATTGATTCAATATCCTCAATTTTCCTCTTAATAAATCTGCCATGTTTGCACTTGGTGAAAAATTTTGATATTTTAACACAACTCTGTTCAACCGTTGGCCCGAGAAAATTTTCTTATTATTATACATTATTTTACAAAAACACTCTAATGACAACAAATAAAAAAAAATATTTCAGACAAGCTTGAAAAATTATTATTTAAACAAATATCATCTGACTTTAATAAAAATTTCGCGACGCAATGAGACTTCTCACTATATATAAGTTACGAAATTTCCGAATAAACTTCAGGAAATAACTTTGTGCTGAATAAGAGACATGTTGCGCGTTGGAATTTATCTGTGCTTGATCGTTGGCGCTTTTGCCCTTCAATTGGAGCCGGGCTTATGTCCGTCGATTCCTTATCAGGATAAGTTCATTCCATCTAAAGTAAGTTTTTATTTTTAAACTTATTGAAGGCCTTTTTAAAAATATCAATAATTAAGAAATGACCTTGTATCTTGTCAACTATTGACATTTTTAAAGATATAAGCTCATCCTGATGTTACACTCATTGAGACCTTTCATTTGAGTATCCACATCAATGTTTCATATATTTATATATATTATATATATGTATATATATAAAATATATGAAAAATTGATGTGGGTACTCAAATGAAAGCTCTTGATGAGTATAACATCAGGATGAGCTTATATTTTAAAAAACGTCAATATTTAAGAAAGTAAAGTGCAATTTAACAAAATTCATCATTTAATAAAATAAAATTTTATATATTTTTAGTTGGTCGGCAGATGGTACAAGTATATGTATGCCGACTATCTAATTGACCGCAACTCCACATGCCAGGGCCTTGATATTGGTCCGTTTGTTGACGATATCGCAAATATTATTTTCTTCGATAATTCAGCTCTGTACGGAAACTTTTTATTTATTAATTTATTTATTAATAGATCCATAATCAATTTATCAATCTTTGATCCTTAGATCCAAACAGACGTCAAGAGTTGTCGTCGAAGCCCATTTCGACCACAGTAGAATATCCAATCAGCTGCACGCTCCAGGCTTCGGGATTTTCGAGAATGAATTGCACATCCTCGATACAGATTATGACAATTACTTTATAATTATCGGCTGTGAAGAGTTTGGCAATCAACAGTAAGTACTCGCAATTTTTATCGCTATTATTGTTATCTAATTTTCAATTAATGATTGTTCCAGCTTGCTCCAAGTCTGGGTTGATACCAGAGATTTGTATCCGAAGATGGATGTAGTTGCGATGACTAAAAAAGTAATGAGAAACTATGGTTTTCGATCTATTAATTTCGCTACGGTTGACAACAACAATTGCGGGTTTTAATTTTACAGTAATACTGTATGACGTCTTTAATAAGATATTACATTATCGAGAAATTTATTTTATTAAAAAAAATATTGAGAATATATTATAATAATGAAATTTAATATTTAATTGCAATAAAGATAATTTTATTTAAACATTCCTTAAAAAAAAATTAATTCTTAATTTTTCTAACTGGCTAAATTAAAATTTGTCAATAATTTAAAAATTAAATTTATCAAGGTGAATTATATTAATTCATTTAATTTTTTTTTATCCCTACTTTGAATAATCTATATTATTAAGAGATTAAAAAAAAATGTGTGATCTTTAAAAATATCAATAATTAAGAAATTACCTTGTATTTTGTCAACTACTGACATTTTTAAAGATATAAGCTCATCCCGATATTACACTCATCGAGACCTTTCATTTGAGTACCCACATAATTTTTTCATATATTTTATATATTTATATATATTATATATATATAATATCTAAAATATATGAAAAAAGTCGTGTGGGTATTCAAATGAAAGTCTCGATAAGTGTAACACCAGAATGAGCTTATATCGTTAAAAATATCATCGGTAGATAAAATACAACGTTATTTCTTAATTATTAACATTTTTTAAGATATAAGCTCACCACGATGTTAAACTCATCAAGAGCTTTCATTTGAGTACTCACAAGCATTTTGATATATTTTTCATAGATACATATATATAAATATATAAAATATATGAAAAAATTATGTGGGTACTCAAATGAATTATATATATGTATATATGAAAAATATATCAAAAATGCAAGTAGGTACTCAAATGAAAGCTCTTAATGAGTGTAACAGTGGGATGAGCTTATATCTTTAAAATATATGTTATATATATGTATATATGAAAAATATATCAAAAATGCAAGTGGGTACTCAAATGAAAGCTCTTGATGACAGTAACACCAAGATGAGCTTATATCTTTAAAAACTTCAATATTTAAGAAAGTACAGTGCACTTTAACAAAATTCATTATTTTATAACGCAAAATTTTATTTATAATTTCTCATTGAAATATTTAATCAAATTATATTCATTAAAATTAAATTATTCTTAATTTTTTATTTTGCCATCAAAAGATAACAAATTGAAAGAGCAAAAATTTTGCAATTTATTTAACTTAAGACACGTAAACTGAAAACACAAATTTAAATACGATAAATAAGTACTGTAAATTATTGAGTAATCGTCTTTACAAAATTGATCAACTGTTGTATCAAACTTGAACAATTATTGATCGAAAAATATCGTCTCACCTGAACAAAAGTCCCGTCAAGCTTATCATTTGCCATATTCGTGTAACAAATTACAGAAACAGTTCAAAAAGTAACTTAGTATTGAAGAAACATGTTGCGCGTTGCAATTTTTTTGTGTTTAATAGCCGGTGCTATTGCTCTGGAATTACAAATCGGTCCCTGCCCTATAATACCTAAGCAGTACGTCGATCTTACTAAAGTAAGTAATAACTTTATTCAATTTAATAGAAAGTAAAACACTTTGCGGTATGAGGCGTGCAATTTGAAAATCTATTTTTTAGACAGGCGGCAGATGGTATATGAATCAACACAGCAGCAACATTGCTGATAATTCATCCAAATGTCAGACGCTTTACATCAACCCGCCTGAATACGGAGTTTCAAAAATAATTTTTTCGGATATTTCAACGCTGTAAGGAAAATTTTGATAATTTATTTATTGAAAACAATGAAAAAAAAAAATATTCTTGCTCCAAGAAAATTATTATTGAAGAGAACTAGTTGTCTTATTTCAAGAAATTCTTGTCTTGATTTAATGTTTCTTGGAGCGAGAGATCTAATCACTACCATCAATAAAATTTTTACGAGGTTCTAGACTATATTATCTTCGATCGATACAAGTGAATTGTTTATTAAAAAATGATTCTCTTCAATAAACAATTATTTTAGTTCATTTAAAGAATTATTGATTTTTGATTCAACAACTAATTTTTTTATTTATAATGTTATAAGTTTAAGTGAGAAAAAAACTTTGAAGTTAAAAACATTTTTATTTCTCTATTTGCCGACAAAATATTTATTAATACAGAGATTAGCAAAAATACTTAAATTTATATGCTTAAAACGAGTTAAATAATATGTTAATTCTCGTGTGGCGCCATACTTGCGAACAAGTCGGTAATATCTTGACCCAACGTTACCGTCTATTTTAATCCTCGAGAAAGAAATTCTTCGGCGACAGTTGTATATATCTTATTTTGAAACAACCAAGTTTCTTCATTCGAGAATCTTTTTTTTAAGTTAAGAGAATTTAATTACTTAAAACAACAATGACATTTTGAAGAAAAAGTTTTTTTTTAATCAAGTCATTTTTTTTATCAGTCTTCAAATTTTGAAATAATTATTAATGTTGTTTTTTTTAATTGCGGCGAAAACAATGGTGTTATAAAAAATTTTTGGAACAAAAATTGTTCAAAATTTGACTAAAAAAAAAACCAATATTTTTGTTGCAATTCCAAAATTAAAATTTACAATAAAAGAATCAAATTTTTGAATAATTATTAATTATTTAATAAGCTTTATGAACTATTAATAAATCTATTTTTCTCTCAAATAAATATTTATTGTATGTTAAAAAATATTTAATAAATTAAATACTTGTCTTAAAATTTTTTGATTCTAAGAAAAAAAACATAATTTTTTTTTTTATAAAATAAAATTTTGAACTTTTTGCCATAATTTTAAAAAGCTTGAATTATTTATTATTAATTGTTATTTTTAATTAGCGGCAAAAATCTTTGTGATAATCATTATATTTCTGAATTAAAATTGAGTCATATTTATTGATTAGAACCAACAATAAGACTACGATTGTCATTGAATCTCAAGTGGAAAACGGTGCAATAACTACTAAGATGCACATACCAGGGTTTGGTATTAGCGAGAGGCTTTGCTACATTTTGGAGACAGATAATATCAATTATGCGGTAAACGTCGCCTGCGAAGAGTATGGAAATTATCAGTAAGTATATTTGCAACACTTTAGGGCCCTAATAGCAAAAGGAAGGATAGAAAATAATTATCTTATTAATTAATATTGAAAAAATGAGAGATCATATTTGATTAATTGTTTCAGCATGTTCCAGGTGTTTGCTAACACCCGATTGCCCAAATTACCTCCGAGTATGAATATGACCAGCATAGTCAATAAAGCAATGAAGCGCAAAAATTTAACGCCTGTGGCAATGACTAATGTTGATCACAGTCAATGTTCGTATCAATAATTGTGACAATATTCAAAAATTTACACTATTTATTAATTTTGAATAAATCAATAAATGTAAAAAAATTGTGAAATATAAATAAAACACTGAAAATTGAAGCTTATTTAATAGACTAACATGAAATTTATTTTTACAGAAAATTGATAGGTTATTTTAATTATTAAGTAATCCGTAAAAAATTTGCGAAAAAATTTTTGGAATTTTTCAAAAAAAAAATTTTTATATATGTTAATTATAAATAAGAATAATTATATATGGGACTATATATAATCTTACATTGCTGTATATTGCTCCATATATAATTATTAGGACCTATATACAATATAAATTTGGTTATAAGTTTCTGAAAGCGAGAAAAAAAAGCGCCACTGCGCCGCCTAGCGGTAATATTAATAATTAATTTATTGTTTATTTATTATTTAAGTCTAGTTACTGGTAATTTTTTTCATTGCTTCAATTAAAAAAAAAAATTAGTTATTAATGTTACCGCTAGGCGGCGCAGTGGCGTTTTTTTTTCTCGCTTCCAGAAACTTGTAACCAAATTTATATTATATTTTTAATCAAAATATATTTTGTAACGGGTGGTTTATTTCCCGTACGATTGGCCCTATTATTTAAATTTAATAGAACAACAAAATAACAACAATTGATCTTAAAGTTAAATAGGGCGCCACCAGGATTATTTTCTCGGTTCCTGGAACCGGATGCCAGAGCTGAGCTTCTTATTCTACAGGGAGAGAGAGAGAGAGAAGGGTCTCGCTTCCAGAAACTTTGTAACCAAATTTATATTATATTTTTAATCAAAATATATTTTGTAACGGGTGGTTTATTTCCCGTACGATTGGCCCTATTATTTAAATTTAATAAAACAACAAAATAACAACAATTGATCTTAAAGTTAAATAGGGCGCCACCAGGATTATTTTCTCGGTTCCTGGAACCGGATGCCAGAGCTGAGCTTCTTATTCTACAGGGAGAGAGAGAGAGAGAAGGGTGGTCTGAAATAAATATATTTTTATTAACAACGGTACCAAAATTTATTAACAACAAAATTAACAACTCGTGCACTTGCACGTACACTCCCAACTCACTTATAACTAACTGGAGGATTTCGGGCTAAAACCGGCGACTCCACTTAATACTACGACTTATAAAACTACCTCCACACTACCGCTTATAACTACCGGGGGATTTCGGGCTGGAACCGGCGACCCCGACTCGTCACCCTGCAAAGAGACTAATCGTATGCAAAGGCTCGTTAACTTAGCTCACGAAAGTAGTCGACCCAGTGACTAAACGTAGGCCGATTTCCTCGCGTGAGCTTACAAAAGGATGCTTAATCCCGCAGTACCCTCTTATGGAGCGACCATACTGGGGTTTCTACCTTACTACCGCTGTACCTCACTTGGCGTCTATACAACGGCGTCTACGCCAGCGAAACACCTCGCAAAGAGACTAATCGTATGCGAAGGGACGCTGGTAGCACACACACACACATAACCCACACTATCTCCACACACACTGACTCTACTTTATTATTTCCGGACTTACAAAATTAACTCCAAAAATTTACTACGTTAATTTTACTAAGACTTATCAGTCATTAGCTCGTAATAAAACTCATGAATTATTCTCACAAATTTAACAAATTTACTTCTAAAAATTCCGGCTTAAACCAACGCTTCTTTTCCTTCCATTTTTACCACGAGCTTATCTCTGTGCATTAACAAAATTCTCAGAACCTTCTTTTGTAATTTTAACTAAATTTTACTCGGACTTAATCCACACGAATAAATAGTTTTATTAAAAATTTTACCGGAATAACAATGATAATAAATTATTGATAATTTTTACAGGACGTTTTCAATATAAGACTCCCCAAGCAGAAATTGGCTATTAGATTAAATAATAATTTATAATTTTACTAAACGTAAAAATTACGTGCCTAAATTTTTTCTGCGGGTGTTTAAGTCTTTTCTGCGTCGAAATTTAATGATGATTTAATTCTTAATAATTAATAACCCGTGGAATAACTATTTTCTGATAAATTGTGAATAATCATTAATTAATAATTAATTCACTCTGGTGAAAATTTAAACACAGAGAATTTTCCACGGCGTTAAATTTCTAAATGCGACGCAGTTTTCCCCAATAAATCAATTCCGGTAATTAAAATTGTTCCGAATAAATAATTAAATAATTTTCCACAATTAATAAATATAATAAAATAATTAAGTGGTAATTCAATTGTTAAAATTAGTCCATGTATTTATTTTATAAATCTACGGCGTCACCAAATTCTTAAGGAATTTGCGTGCTCAAGATGGACGCCGTTACTGCTACGTAGTAGCTTGACCTCGGGTACTGAGAGACGCTTGACTGGTCGTGAGCTATGATTGGAATGTTTTCTCGGTCTTCAGAAAATTATACTAATAATTTGTTAATAAAAAATGAATTCATTAATGCCAATCAAAGGTGTTAATTATTATTAACCAGCTGAATTAATAACTTGATTACTCACGACCAAACCCCGGAGGTCTGGAACATTCCTCGGGTGTAACAATCCCCTGGAGGAATTGTTCTCAAAGCTAACAAAATTAATTTAATTCAAACAGTTAAATTATTATTGAATAAAATATTATAAGACGAATTGAATTACCATTAATTTAATAAATGAGAAGTAGTATGGAAATTGAGCCGGGTGTGACCCCCAAGGCTCAACACTACCAAAGTCCAATACCTGGCGTCAATTGGTTTGAAGGAACTCTTTGGTTGCTAATGGCTTCCTTCTTGGACTCCTCGATGTTACTTGTTTCAACACTACACCACTTCTCCCGATACAACGCATGAATCGCCTATTTAATAACTCCCCAAAATACCCCCTCCTACTTTCTTTCTAGGGCCGAAGATCGATGCGCCAAAATGCTAGTCGACAAAGTTATCGATCTCTGATAGCGACTTATCGATTAATTTTACCCGAATTATTAATTATATATGATTATATATGATCTCATATACAATTTGGCATATGCCATAAAAATTAGTGAAAAACATCCATTTACCTCGTCCAAATATTAAGCTGTTTAATTCTGCATATCACAAATATAAAATTTCCTTCTCAGAAATCCAGAAGATAGCATTAATTATACCTGTTTTCCTGCAGTTCTAGTTTTTATTAAATTTATGTCACTTAGCCTAATAAATTTAACATTAAATATCATTTCCAAAAACTTCTGGCTTCATAAACATAGTGTCAACTCTTTAGTTGACAGTGTTGAGGAAAAACAACCGTACTAATGCATAACAATTTCTTCGTACAGGAGGATAAACATGACACATAACTTATCAGTCTGACATAAGCTATTTACAATAAGGAAACTCCTCTAATATGTGTGTTAAAAATTGTCCGTGTGAAGATTAATAAATTTACACGCTACAAAAAAAAAAAAAACAAAATAACATTTAAATGTATCTTGAATACGATAATGAAGAAAAGCCGCCTGGAGGTTATCTAATAATAGAAGATTACTGCTACAGCTCTCTGATTACAACAAGTTTACTTGATATCTTGCTAGTATGTTTGAGTAATAACAAGCAGTTGTCTTTAATGACCAATTTAAATGAGACTGAATCTTCGAAGACACTCCCCCAGTCTATAAAGTCCCAGCGTTGAGTGTTTATCAGCCAGTTGTGGTCAAACCACCGCACAACCTAGAAGTGCTCTATTGCAAATTAAAAGATGTTAAAGCTAAGTGTAATTTTACTTTGTGGTTTGCTTTATGTTGACGCCGCAATGAGTCGCAATCAAACAAGCTCTGATCCTCCAGAAGTGACAACTCCCCTCGGGAAAGTTAAAGGGTCCCTGATGGAAACGCGATTGGGCAAGACAATATATGCGTTTCGCGGGATTAGATACGGCGAACCTCCTATTGGCCAGCTGCGTTTTAAAGTAAGCTTGATTAATTATTATTAATAATTTATCAAACTTAGCAAGAATTTTTAACTAGTTTGTTGGTCTTGCAGCAAGCTGAACCAGTGAAGTCTTGGGAAGGCACCTTTGATGCTTCAAAAGAAGGTCCTTCATGCGGGTGGCTGGAATCTAAGCTCCAATCGGAAGATTGTCTTCGTTTGAATGTCTACACTACGAAGGTAAGTCGCTAATTTTAATTACTGATCACTGATTAGTCGATTTTTCCTTAAAAATGGTTGCTATGATCATTTTTCCCCCTAGCAACGGTTACTATGGTCATTTTTCTTCTTAGCAACGGTTACTATAGTTATTAATAATTAATTTATTGTTTATTTATTATTTAAGTCTAGTTATTGGTAATTTTGTTCATTGCTTCAATTAAAAAAAAAATTAGTTATTAATGTTACCGCTAGGCGGCGCAGTGGCGTTTTTTTTCTCGCTTCCAGAAACTTGTAACCAAATTTATATAATATTTTTGATCAAAATACATTTGAAGTAATCAGTAAACAGTGATTTCTAATTACTGATTACTGATTACTAGGACCAGGGACTTCGTATGGAAGGGGTAAAACAATTGATTAAAACAAATGCTCGTGCGTTACCCCTTCCATACGAAGTCCCTGGCCATACTGATTACTATTAATCCTGTGCAATAATCATCTTCAGCTTGCAGAACCAGGCAGTCCTCCTCGTCCAGTTGTAGTCTTCTTCCACCCGGGTGGATTCTGGTCCCGTTCTGGACAAAGTTACATCTACGGCCCGGAATATCTTTTGGACGAAAACATCATTTTGGTGACCTGCAACTACAGAATCGGCGCTTTAGGATTCTTCAGTACCGGCGATAGCCTAGCTCCAGGAAACGTGGGTCTGAAGGACCAAGTGGAGGTGCTTCGGTTTATTCAAAAGAACATCAGAAGTTTCAACGGCGACCCTAACAGCGTCACCATCACGGGCCAGAGTGCAGGAGGCTGGAGTGTCTCTCTCCACCTGGTCTCTCCGATGTCCAAAGGACTCTTTCACCGAGCTATAGTCCAGTCTGGAGCAGCTACCTACCAGAATCCATTTCCGCCTCATCAGAAAGACCTGGCCAAGAAACTAGCTCGGTTGTTGGACTGTCCTACTGATACCACTGGCTCTATGTTGCTTTGTCTGAACACCAAACCTTTTGAGGACATCGTTGCTACTCTGCCGAAGTTTTGGGAGTGGCACGGAGATCCTATTCTAATTTGGACGCCGGTTATTGAGCCAGATGTCCCGGGAATTGAACGGTTTCTTGTTGAGCAACCAGTTGATTCTATAAAACAAGGAAGATTTGAACAGGTTCCTGTTATTGGCGGGATTGTTAAGGACGAATTCGCTGGAGTTGTTGTTGGTAGGCTGGTATATCATCAGCTAGCTAGCTTTGATCAGCTGGACGATTAAAATTGTGTGCTTTTGATGTTGCAGGGGTTGTTGAAGCAGCACGAAAAGGTGACAATTCAGTCTTTGATGACATTAATGCAAATTTCACCACAATTGCACCTATAAGCTACTTTTACGAGCGAGGAACCAATAGATCCTTGGAAATCAGTGAAGATCTAAGGAAGTTCTACTTCAAAGGACAACCTGTTGGAAAAGATAACTACGTAGGCCTTGGAGAAGTAAGTAATCCTCTTCTAGTCGTTAAATCCAAACAATAACAAAAAAAAAATGCTGCGTAATTTCTATATTTACACTTTTTAATCACCAAATTGTTATCAGTTGTACGCAGACAGTGTAACTATCTTCGGCGTTCATCGATTTATTAACCTGGTTGGTAAACACTCGAGCAAACCTGTTTATTACTACAATTTCGCTTATCAAGGCCGATACAGCTACGTTTATTGGTCGGACAAAAAACCGTTTGGTAACTAATCAATCTGTTGTTCAAAAAGGCCAGAGAATATAATTTATGTCTTTTCAGGAGTCGTTCATGAAGACGACTTGCTTTACCTGTTTAGAAAAGAGGAATTTCCCGCTATTGGAGGAAATGATCCCGAAGTTATGACTCTGAGGCGCATGACGTCAATTTGGGGGAATTTTGCACGGACTGGTGAACCAATTCCTACTGGCAATCCTGACTTTTCTGACTTTGTTTGGACTCCCTTCACCCGGGACAATCCAGCGTATCTTGAAATTACAGATACTCTTAAAATTAAGAAGAATTTGTATATTGATAGGATGAACGAGTGGGATAAATTGTTTCCTATTGAATATTGAATATTAAGATATTCCAGTATTTTTTGAATATTAAATTCCATTTATATTCCTTGTATTATAACCAAATCGAAATAAATTTATAAACTTGTAAAATCGTGTATTTATTAATAAACTCCGACAAAAACAAGGTACATGAACTGAAAACGTGATTATAATTATCAACATCAAAACAACTTTAACAATCGAATTTATATCATGGTTGATGACTAAATGACATATATCTATCTACTAAGTGGACTGATTATTAAACTTGCTCAGTAAATACCCAACTAAACCTGTTTATTGTAACCGTAATACTCGTCAAGGTCAGCCGCTCAACACAATCTAGTAAAAAGAGCACTTGCGATGAATCTTATCCTTCTTTATGTCTTTGCTTCCGAAAATCCTTATAGTGAAGCAATGACCTTGAATTCGCGCCAAAATGCCAATTATCATCCAAAAAAAGCAATAAATTCAGAAGATAATCAAACTGTTGTTTTTAAATCGGGAATAACAAGTATGACGGCAATAGCCTCTGGGAAATAACGTCGAGTTTCTACGAAGCGATAAGAAATCCAACATTACTAACACTGGCACAAATATACGTTGCTTTCAAGTAAATTGACAATCTTTTCCTCATACATGCTTCGGTATATAAACTTACTGATCGGTATTAAAGCGACACTAAGAATGAAGACTCTCGTGGTAGCCATAATCATCATTGTCTCTGTTTTTGGTGATGATGCTGCTCCAGAGGTATCAATTCCTCTGGGAAGGATCAAGGGTTCAATGATGCGAACTAGGCTTGGAAAGGACATATTTGCATTCCGAGGGCTAAGATATGCAGAATCACCTGAAGGAAAACAAAGATTCAAAGTAAGTACCTTTACCTTAACCTTTTGGTTAGCAATTGTTAATTAGAATTGAATAACAATTTGGATCACCAGATCGCGGTACCAGCCAAACCGTGGGACGGAGTGTTTGATGCTTCAGCGGAAGGTCCATCGTGCCCACGATTGGGTGGAAATCTCACCCAAGACGACTGTTTGCGCCTGAATGTTTACACCAAAAAGGTATGTCATCTAGATTCTAGATTACATCAAGATTGATTGATTGATTGATTAGATCTGCTCTTCAGGTTCCAAAGCTTGGAGACCATTCACTCAAAACCCCAGTGATCGTATTCTTCCATCCCGGAGGATTCTACGGCTTTTCAGGACAAAGCTACCTATTCGGCCCGCAGTACCTTCTTGATGAAGAAGTCGTGTTAGTCACAACCAACTACAGATTGGGCGCCATAGGCTTCACTGCTACCGGAGACGCTGAATTCCCAGGGAACCTGGGCCTGAAGGACCAGGTCCAAGCTTTGAGATGGGTCCAGCAGAACATCGCGGCTTTCAACGGAGACCCTGAATGTGTCACAATTGTGGGGTACAGCGCAGGATCTTGGAGTGTCGCGCTCCACATGTTGTCCCCTATGTCCCGAGGACTGTTCCATCGAGCAGTAGCGATGAGTGGGTCTCCCACCAAAGGGGAACAGCTTCAGCACCAGCAGCTAGACCTGGCAAAGAAACAGGCCCGGTTGGTAGGCTGTCCTTCTGAGAGCACCAGAATTATGCGGGAGTGCTTCGAAAAGGTTCCAGCTGATAAAATGGCAGCTACTGTTCGGAATATGACTGACTGGGGCTGGGACCCAATTCGTTTTTGGAGTGCTGTAGTGGAGCCAGATATCCCTGGGCTTGAGAGGTTCATCGTCGAGCAACCAGTCGACTCAATTCGCTGCGGAAATTTTTATAGTGTGCCTTTTATGAGCGGATCCACTTTGGATGAATTTGGAGGGCAAGCTAGGCGTAAGTTTTCTGCAAAAAGGATTCATTTCATGAATAATTGCCAATTACTGATTGGATTGCTTCTTATCTTAGTTCCAGTAGTTGCTGCTCGCCACGGGAACAATTCTGTTTTTGATGACTTGAACGCAAATTGGGATCACATTGCGCCCATTGCATTTCAATTTCAACGCAATTCTTCAAGGTCCAAAAGGATTAGTGATGAGTTGAGGGATTTTTACTTCAAAAATGAAACTATTGGTTTGCAGAATTGGCAAGCTCTTGCTCATGTAAGTATCCAGTTAGGTGATCCAACCATGTCTTTGTTAGTTCCAATTCAAAGATGCTTTAGCTTGACGAATGAGATAGCTACAATTTCTATTATCTTGCAGTTGTACGGTGACGCTATAGTATCCTTCCCAATCCACCGAATCGTTGATCTAGTATCCAGATATTCTGATCAACCTGTTTACTACTACCACTTTGTTTATCCAGGACGCTACAGTTGGCACGTTTGGTCCGATACCAAAAAACCATTTGGTAAGTCCAAACAATAAATCATCATGGTAAATTCTAACTAAATGTCCTTCAGGTGTCGTTCATCATGATGACCTAATGTACCTCTTCTATATGCAACGCTACTTCCCCTACTTCAACGAAACTGCCCCGGAGATACCTACCGTGGAGCACATAACTGCCATGTGGGCGAGTTTCGCCAAAACAGGCAACCCTATTCCCAAGGACAATCCTCTGTTCAAAGACGTCACTTGGGAGCCTTTTCAACCTGAAACTGGGCAGTACCTTGAAATCAACAGCACTTTGACGATGAAGTTCAATCTCAATGCTGAACGGATGGAAGCTTTTGAAAGGATATTTCCATTAGAGGAAGCCAATTGCAATTAGATCGGATCAATAATATAAAAAATTTTTATTAAACTTTCCAAATAAATAAACCAGAGTATAAAATAATAAAATTTCCAATAACCTATACTTAGATTTTAGGATCTGTAGGTTGTAGCTTAACAATAGTCTCACTTAGCTCCCAGAACTTCTTGCCCTTTGCCGGGTCTTGGACTCCAGATGACAGGCCGTATTCCTGAAGAAACCGGAAGAGGCGTTAGTAGTAAAGAGGATGGAGTCAAGAGACATGTTGGAGATACTTACCCTGCAATCCAAGAAGTACTTTCCAGTGACTCCTTCCAGTTCTTCCGAAACAGCCAAATGGATTGTCGTCTGCGCGCCTTGTTTAGGTGTCTTGAAGAATCCACGGATTATCAAGTACAGTCCCCAGGACAATGGAGCTGGAACGCTGCGCCAGATTCCGCTGTTTTGACAAATTCATTAGAAATGATCATCAGTGATGTTATCATTAGCAAGGAACAGGTTGAAGAGGAAGGGACTAATTAGTCCCTAAGACTAATAAGGGGCTAATTAGCCCCTAATTAGTAATTACTAATTCCTACCTGTCAATCAGACCGGGATGCAAACAATTGACAGTAACTCCAGTTCCTTCTAGACGTCGTGCTAATTCTAAAGAAAAGACTATATTCGCGTACTTGGAGACGTAGTACAAGTAAGCTGGGAAGGTTGTCACTGGGTTCAAATTATCCAGGTTTAAGGAAGCAAGTCGATACAATTCGGATGCTACCACAACGACTCTAGATGGTTTGGAACGCTTTAAAAGATCTGGAAGATGAAAATTTTGGGTTAAGCTAGGTTTGTTGGAGGATTTAAGGTTGGAGATAGGGACGAAGATGTCTACCTATCAACAAGTGAGTCAGTAGGAAAGGTCCGTACTGATTTGTCGCCATGGTCATTTCAAGGCCATCTTCGGTTGTCTTCTTTCGGAAAGTTTCTGCTGTACCGGCGTTGTGGATCAGAACGTCAAGGCGCGACTCCTCGCGGTTTATTTGGGAAGCAAAGTCGCGGACGGATTTTAAAGATGATAGGTCCAAGTGTTTTACTACTATGCTGTTGTTTCCGGTTTCTTTTATGAATTCATCTGTTGAAAGATTTATTTTTTTATAATTAAAAAAATACCTTGTTTCTTGTAGAATTTTGAGAATTTTAAAGATATAAGCTCATCCTGATGTTGGATTCATTGAAACCTTTCATTTAAGTACCCACATCAATTTTTTATATATTTTATATATATTATATATATATGTATATATGAAAAATATATCAAAAATGCATGTGGGTATTCAAATGAAAGCTTTTGATGAGTGTAACATCAAGATGAGCTTATATCTTCAAAATATATAGTATATATATGAATATATGAAAAATATATCAAAAATACATGTGGGTACTCAAATGAAAGGTCTTGATGAGTATAACATCGGGATGAGCTTATATCTTTGAAAAAATTAATATTTAAGAAAGTTCAGTGCAATTTAACAAAATTCATTATTTATTGAAGCAAAATTTTATTCTTTAATGCTTATCATTTTATTACTCTGAATACTTCTCATAAATAATCATGAATCCAGATAAATAAATTACAATAAATTAAAAGACCCCAGAAAGTTATTAAAAAATTTCTTCAATGAATAATCACCACAATTACTAATTAATAATTAATCACTAAAGAATAGGAAGTGTATTCTTACCTTTCAACTTATTAGCAGCTTGGACATTGCGACAGGCCATTATCAACCTAGCCCCGCGGTGTGCTAGATCCCGCGCAGTTTCTTTGCCAATGCCCGATGTACATCCCGTAATAATTACTGTTTTTCCGTTCATTTTTCTCGTGCTTTTGCAAACCCCAGTTGTCATGTAGATAAACAGTTGCAGTAGTATGAAGAAAAATACTACTGCAGCTACAATTAATGATAGTATCACACCGAGCACTAACCACAGTGTTATTTCTATCCCAAAGACCATCATTTGTCTATAAAAAGAATTCTATTAATTAATTAAGTAATTAATAAACAGCAAAATAGAAAAAAAAAATTTTTTTCTTTTATTATTTGGGATATTAAACAATTCTGCTATTGTTGTCTGTAAAATCAACAGTCAAGGTAAGCAAGATTGTAATTTTTTTAATAAGCAAAAATGTAAGTAGATTTTTTATAGAAGGACTTTATTCCTTACTCATAAGTAAAAAAATTTTTTTTAATTATTTTATGATTCAATTTTTTTTTCTCTTATTTTTAAACACAAAATATTTTTATTTGAAAATTTAATTAACTAAATATTAACCTTTGATGCAATAAAATCTTAAAAAAAAATATTTTGTAGATTTTTATAATTTTTTACTTTAAATTATCTATGTTATTAAGAGAATAATTTAGAAATGACCTTGTATCTTATGAACTATTGACATTTTTTAAGATATAAGCTCATCTTGAT